TTATTATTACTACTATTACTAGGGGACAAAATCAAATCAATTCATTAATGTCAATGATTTTTTATTTGGAGATAGAAGTGTCAAAACGGGCTACCCGTGTGGGTTTGGGCTAGCTCGCATTGGGTTCGGGCTAAACCAGGCCGAGTTAAAAAACTCGTATACAATTTATATATATAAAAATGTAGCCCAAATCCGCCCTAAGCGGGTGCGGGTTGTGACGGGCCGGCCCACATAATATTAAAAAAAATTAAATTTTAATGTAGATTTAATATATATATATATATAATATTTGATATTAATGCATAATTTTTTTAACACAATTGTTATACCCAATGCAACCAAAATTATAGATATAATGTCATGTATTTAAGTTAAGATGTGATGTCAAATCTACGTATATGATTCATAACATAACTCATTTATTAAATATCTTATTGTTATTAGACTTTCAATCTCTAACACAATATAATTTGTAATTTCACTTCAATATAATAAATGGATACACTAACAAATAATGTTACTTTCGTTTGTAGTAATGATAATATAAACTCAAATTCAGAATAAAGTCTATGTGTCGAATTATAATCACTATCATAATAATTCTTTACTTTGTTATAGATATCTTTTGTATATTCTTTACCAACATTTTCATTGTGAATTGTTATGTTAAATTTGGTTGTGTGAAATTCACTATGGTAAACAATTAAGTTGTGATTCGTTGTAAAAGTTATCTTCTTTATTATGTTTTTGTTGTATAAGTTAAATCTAATTAAATATACAATTAGGAAAAGAAAAATGAAATCTATATGGTTTAATGTTCTCATTTAATTTGATACATTATTTTGCTAATGTGCTTAAAAGGATATTAAGCAAAATAATATAATGTTTAACGTGATAACATTATTGTAATTTATAAATATTTATGTTATAGACATTACTCTATTTTTTATTCAAATTTCATAACACAATATTTATCATCTATTATCTATTTTTTATTATAAGTTATTTTGTAAAATATTTTTCACTTTAAGCTTATTACCAAGCCAAATGTCCAAAAAAAAGTTTTAAAATAAATAAAAAACGGGTAGCCCGAGCCCGCCCGGATAAGCCCGGCTCGAGTCCGATTTTAATATAGCCCGGCTGGGTCGGGCTAAGAAGCCATGATTCACTAAAAAGTGTCAAATATGATACCTAAGCCCTACAAAACTTCGGGTTGTGGTGGGCCGGCCCGCACAGGCCCGCCCATTTTGACAGCTCTATCTGGAGACAACACATTCTTGGTTTTGTATCATATATAGTGATATAAGATGAACTATTGTCAGACATAAAAATAAAAACATATATTATTTTATTTTAGTAATTAAATTTTCAATAAAACAAAACAAGTTAAGGTTATTAATAAATTCATGCAATTAGCGAAAATACCATTTTAATATGAACAATTGAGATAGTAACAATTTTCTCAACTCGTAATCGATTCTCGAACTCAGAATTTTTTTTAAATGTAGCAACGACTTCAAATCTTTTGATAGATGTAAGAATTGAATTTAACATTTTCCGAAGTTATATAACAAATGTTCTATTAAAAATCAAGATGAAAAAGCAACTTAGTTTACTAGTGAAGGAGTACAAAATCATCCATCATTCATTTATCTAACATAACAAGAATATTGTTAAAAAAAAGGTACGGAAAAGTCTTAATTAATTGATGAAACAAAACTTGAGTATCAAGATCTAGCTCTCTCACACAATAATTATATTTTGACCTTAGTATATAATCACAAAATCATGACCATAGTTCACAGGTTCATCATCATAGAAATGTGATGTGATTTGACTAATATTACTTTCCCATCCCATTATCACAATCAAAGTACCACAATCATCGGCCCCACCAAAAATGATTAGCCCCACAACATTAAACACTTTTCTATTCCTATTCATTGAAGCCTCTTATCTCTTAGAAAAAAATCTAAACACCTTGGTTCTGTTTCCATTCATGAACATGGCAACACAACAAATAGCACAACACAGAAACCAAGCTGAGATCTACCAAGGAGATGGAATATGCATGCAGAAATCACGTCTCCTTTTAGATGAAATCCTTCTCCCAAGAGGGTTACTACCATTGGACCAGATCATTGAAATGGGTTACAATCGCATTACAGGTTTCGTGTGGCTCAAGCAAAAGCAAAAAATGGAACACAAGTTCCAAGCCATTGGTAAAACGGTGTCGTATGATGCCGAGGTGACGGCGTTCGTGGAGGAACGAAGTATGAGAAGGGTGACAGGGGTGAAGAGCAAAGAGCTTTTCTTATGGGTTGCCATATCTGAGATATTTGTTGATGATCCATGTTCTGGTAAGATCTCATTCGCTATATCAACTGGGATTGCTAGGTCTTTTCCTATCTCAGCTTTTGATATCCAAGAGTACCATGAACAAGAACACAAGATGAAGAACAAGAGCATCAAAGCTCGTACCACACAAAAGAGAAAAATGTAATAGAAGGAAAGAGTGAATTGCATACATATAATTTTATGGGTTTTCATTTCATGCATTTTGATCATATAAATGTTATAGCTAGGTTTTGATGCATTATTTTAGGTTTTCATATATATGAAATGATTAATCATATATATTTGTTTACGATTGACTTTCGAATAGAGGGTATGTTTGTATCCAAATACCATGGGATATAAGTGCTCTATGTACTGATATATTTGTATAGTATAGACTGTAGAGTTTTTTGGTTAGTTTCAAAATCCATGCTAATATATTGTTGAAATAACCATCTCTCCTAAAAAAACTGCAGAAAAAAATTCATGAAAATAGTTAAGGATTACAAATATATACATTCATTATACAATACAAACCAATGCAAATATTTATGTAAATGGCTAAATTGTTTAGTTTTTGTCCCCAAACAATCAATCATAATCACGGTGCATTTGTTCATAAACAAACTCCAAGTGATCACAACACACCAACATGCCAAACCAGAATTGTTTACTATTTTAATGATGCAAATCCGTTCATACTAAACCTGCTTAAACCATAATAATCTAGGTAGTGAATCGGATGGTTCAATTAAAAAAATTTAAAAATGGAAAATTACTTTAATATTTTATTTTACTTCCATAAAAAAAATAAAGAGATGTAACCTCAATATAACATAGTAATCATATACAATACGCCCTATTCCTCGCTTCATATCTTTATCTCTTCTTTAGGTTCTTCTCTTTCTTTATTCTCACCCAATTTCTGTCTTCAACATGAAGACACAAATGCACTTCCTCTTTTTTTCTTTATTTCTGTATACTTCATTTAACAACACAACAAAATTAAATTAGTTTTTTTCATTGTTTAACTTCCTCCTTATTCAATTGTATTTTGTGTCAATTTTTGGTTTTGGAATTGGGAGAAATTATGAAATGAATTAAATGAGAAGAGACAAAGACAACAATAATAAAGGGAGAGAAGAAATTGGGTGAGAAGAAAGAGAGAGTAAAACCTAAGAAAAAGAGAAAGACCAAGAAAAAAATCCGACATGGTAAATTGGGACCCACTATTTAATGATTTGTCAAATTATAGTTTGGTGTCTCCAAATCTCATATATGAGGATTGTCTTCAACCAAATTTTTCTCATTTTTATATTAATTAAAATGTGGGTATTTATGAAGCTCAATTCACAACATCAAATACATGTGGGATGGGTTTATTAAAGAAATCAAATACTGAATCTTATTTTTTTCTTCAATTATTTATTTTATATAGAATTATTTCAACATACATTAGAAGAAAAAATTTGAAATACATCAATCCATATTGGTATTTTTCTTATATGCCAAATTATCGAATTAATAGAGAGTATAAGGAGCATTCTAACCCTTATATATAATATATATTGGACTCATATATATGTTAAGAGTCCTATTAAGTTCTATATAATATATATTGGACTCATATACCAATTAAAAAAACTAAGTAGCTAATTAACTATTGACCACACTATTTAAAATTTAGCACTGGAACTTAACCTTCATAACATCCAACAAACGAACTTTCACCTTAGATTTTATTATCTTTCTAAAATTATATCTATTTTTATTACTATATCTTATTGTAATAATATTTTCTATAACTTTTATTTATGAAATAATAATTGGAAAAAATTAAATTTTGTTAAATAAAAATGTGTAGATATTAGTACTTGTGAACAATAAATGGGATGTACTCCATTAATTTGCCAAGGGATATAGGAGTAACATCTATACTATATATAAAGGCAAAACCTCTAATAACTACTTACATGGTATAATTTTTCATTGCCTATTTTGCCATTCTAATTAACTATTATTACAATGTTTACCACACAATAAAAGAAATATCAAAATTATAGGTTTTAATATAGATTACATATATAAAAAATATCAAGTCACCAATGTAATTTTTAATATAGGTTTTAATAATATCAAAATTTATTTTCATATTTTTTTTATTATATAAATTATAATATCATGTACAACAGTAAATACAAAAAATGATATATTTCTCTAAAATAAAATATTTAATATTAGAAAATAAGAATGCGGGTCGGCATGCACGAAGTGCATGTCGACATGCTAGTATATATAATTGTTGAAGATTAAACAACTAAAGTAACATCAATGTTAGTAAAATTCTTGACACTATAAATATAAGATACAATTGCAAATATAAAAAAAATATTTTTACAACCAAAATACTTTTATGATTTTTAAATATATTTTTGAAATAGAGATTAAAAATAAAAGTACATAAAATATGACCATAATCTGATTTATTATAAAAAATAGAATTTTAGATGTAATAATACTACCAAACAAAAATATGGTACTAAAAGAAATGCAGAGTACCACGGTACTACACTACTACTTCAAGCAAAAAGATTGTACTACATTTGAGATCTTCCATTTTTTTGTATATATTCTTGTTTTGGTCATACATTATAATTACCATATATGTGAGACCCATATGAGGAAGCAGTACATGTGAAATACAATTGTACAAATATGTACTTGAAGCATATCCGATTATATATAGAATCTGATTGAACCTTATATCAACTCAAGAATGCATTTTTTGTGTTTATGATTAAAATGGTTGAAGCAATCTTATTGGATGTGAGATTCATTCGGAGAAGCATCTTAATGTTATGAATGTTCAGGTATGTGGGAAAGGTAATCCAAAATGGGGAGAGGATGGAACTTAGATTAAAGGTTAGAGAGAACCGACAAAGCTAGGGAAGAGACTGAGCGTGGATGAGGCTATCAACAGAAGAATGAGAGAATGAATTTGTTGTAGCTTTATTCACGCACTGCCTCTTCCCTGGCTAAGTCTCTTTCCTTATATACTATTTCGATATAAAAGTTGGCTTATTTTTTATTTCTTTATATTTAACCTTGTTAATTTTTTTATTGTTTGTAATATTGGTTACTTAAGTGGTTCAAATATATAAGGGAATATTTGACTCTGAGTTTTTTTTAAGAATAAATAAAACGGATTTGTGGAAATTTTGGAACTATCTCCATTGACATAACATTACAACATTGTTGGCCTATGACAACGGCTGAAAACCGTTGTCAAAAAGCAAAAAATCGTTATTTTTTTTAAAGGCAACGATTTTTTAAATGTGGTAATCTGAGACGTTGTCTTTAGTTTAGACCACGGTTTTTTTGTCTTGGTAGGTAATATTCTTGAACACCCCATACACTTGGTAATTTAAGGAAGTCATTCATTGCTGTAGAATCTTACTGAGAAAGGTGGATGGATCGCAGGTTTCTTAAACAAGAAGGACATGGTGACATGATTCTAGCAAAACCGCTTGAAGAGGATTGGAGTTAGCTTGGTCAAAGAGAATTATAAAGGTCACTTATGAAATAGATTTTTTTTGAGGTTGTTCAAGCATTGGATTTCATGTGACAAGTTCATCTACATAGCACATATTGGTGACGTGTGGGATATTTTGCAAGTGGGAGGTGACAACTTCTCATGTCATAATGGGGTCACTCAAATGTGTCTCACCAGTCATAATAGGGAAAATTAGGTTGGGTATTTTGGAAAAATCAAACGTGTACAAAGTTAAATATTATGTTTAAAATTTGATGTAACAATAATAAAACTCATTCTTATTAGTAATAATTTGGTTGAATCATGCTACTTTGAAGCTTCAAATATTTAATTGCGAACACTTATTGCTTTAATACTTTTTCAAAGAGAATTGTGGTAGTATTATGTCGTATCATGTTTTAATACTTATAATATAAAAATTATTAACTAAAACATATAACTCAATTATTATAATTATTTAATGATTAATTATGTTCCAATAACTATCAGGTTGAAAGTTCAATTCTCGAAAGTATTATTTTTGAAAAATATAAAATATTTTCATGTACAATTCAGTTTTGATTAGATATGATTTGACATTTATTTTTCAGTTTTCATCTATTTCATAGTATGCTTGATATAAGTGTCATATTATATCATTATGAGAATCAAATTTACTAGTTGAATCGGATAATAATATATTTGTAACTACAGTGTAAACCATACAATTTTGAAAAGTTTTATTTTCCCTTTTTGCATAATAACTACAAAGTTTATCCACGTTGAAAATCCTATAATATTTAATAAATATTTTATTTAGATATAACAACTGTATTTTACAATTTATATTTTACTATTATGAAATTAAAAAGATATATACTAAGTATGTTAGGAGCCCCACACTGAGTAGAATAGCAAACTCAATGTGATATATAAGTCATGAGGATCTCTCACCTAATATACTAGTCTTTTGGTTGAATTGTCTTCATGTGCTTAAGTTAAGTCATAACAATTGGTGCTTTCATTAAGGGCTGTGTCACGGAAATGAATACATATAGGCTGAATTAAGGTATATTACTAAATAGTGATAGGTGAGTGAAACCGTCAAAAAGAGAAATGACTACCATCGGGATAATGTCGATAGAGTGAAAGTCATCGTGGACGTCAACCCTTAAAGAGTGCAGCAATGTTAGGAGTCATACATTGAGTAGAATAACAAACTTGATGTGATACTTAAATCATGAGACTCTCTCACCTAATAAACTAGTCCTTTCGGTTGACTCTCTTCATATGCTTAAGTCAAAAGAAGTCAATACCTATTAACCTCAACAATTCATGTGTGTGACAAAGTATGTATTAAAAAATAATAAGTTTGAATTAAAAATTAATATTTTCATGAAATTTATATCCCCACTTAATGTAATAATATACGTTTTTCATTTATCATTGTAAGTTTATTCAATTTTAAAATATTAAAGTATATCCTAAAAGATGTGCCCCGATTTTCGATCGAATACTAATTAAGTGACTTATTTAGAGTTGCCATTTTTTAGTCAAAATATAGAAAAACCTTTTAGAGCCTATATATCTGAAGGATTGTCCTAAAATTGGAATTCTCGATTTCAGATTTGATTAAGGATCGAGTAACATATTAGCACCTGTCGTCTTTAGTAGTAAAAACTATTTTTCCAAATAAATTGTGAGAACCATATTTAAACAATTATTTTCTTCTTAATAAAAAAATAAAAAATAATCACATCAAAGATGGAGGAAAGCTCGTGAATGTCTGTTTCTTTTCCTCATCTCATCCTTTAGACGGGCGCCTTACGTTGCTTCTGCCTCATAAAAATCACTCAATCAACAATCATTATTAAATCAAAGAACTATATAGTCTCGATTCTCTATCGCTCATAGGGATACGTTCGATCAATACATCAAATCTTGTCATAAGCAAAAAAAAAAATTGTTCATTTCAATAATTAATTAAATACCCAAACCAATTTAAGGTATAAAACAATTCATGCTATTTAGCGAGGGTACCATCTATTATGGGTATTAGGGATGACAATGGGTACCCGGATCCGCGGGTAACCGCAAATAATACATGCAACGAGTCGAGTTTGGGTCCATATTTTGGACCTGTGGTAATTGAGAACGCAATTTCAAGACTAGGGATGGCAATGAGTCTGGATGGGTTCGGGTAGTGTATTACTCGGACCCACCCTGTTACATCCATGATTACCCATAAAATCATAATTAAAAAGTAATTGCAGTTAATTTATGCACTCGTGTATTTGTTTCTTACAGTCTTATATGTTATTTAGACAATCAACAAGAGAAAAATTATATAATTTAACTTAAAGTTTTAAACACAACTTAGAATATTAAACACAACTCATTTTATTCAAACAAACTTTAAACATTATATTGAAAAATTCATTTAGTAAGAACTCTTCAATTAACTTAACATTACATCATACATATGAATTAACAATATAATATTATTGCTTAATAACATAACATCACATTTTAATATCATAACAATCACATTTATGAATTAATATGATATTATAATTATGGTTTAATATGATATTACAATATAGATTAACATGATATTACAATTATGTTGTTATATATATTTAGGAAGAAATAACATGTCCAGTTAGTCATTGGTCTAGGTAATGTCCGGACCGAGACCAATCTAATAGGGAGTCTTAAAATTGGGGGTCTTAGTTACCCACGGGTCCAAAACATTGACCTAGACCCGACCCGTTGCATATATTTTTTGTGGGTACTCACAGATCTGGGTACCCATTGTCATCCTTATTTAAGACCCATTATTCGATGAGTCTGAGTCCGGGTAATGAAGTACCCAAATCCGTGGATACCCAAACCCGCTATTTATTCCTAAATCTAAATATATATATTATTAATTTATATTGTAATATCATATTAATCTATAATTATAATATCATATTATTTCATAAATGTGATTATTATGTTTTTAGACAATGATAGTATGTTTTTAATTCATATGTATAATGTGATGTTGTGATGTTATATTAATTGAAGAGTTTTACTCAATAAAATTTTCATCTTAATGTTGAAGTTGTTTTTACGTATATTTGAGTAAAATAATTTATATTTATAGTCAAATTAAGTTGTTCTTAAAACTTTTAATTAGTTTTGATAATTGTCTTCTCTTGTTAATTATCTAAATAACATATAAGATCGTAGGAAACAAATATACAAGTATAAATTACTTATAATTATTTTTAATATTTGTGAATTTATGGGTACCAGTGATCTGTTCGGTACCCAAGGACTCCTGGGTAGTATACTCAATAGGTATTAGCATGGTCCTGAGGTGGGTATGAATCAAAAAATGAAACAACAGGGCGGGTCCAAGTAATGCACTACTCGTACCCTTCCAGACCATTGTCATCCCTAATGGGTTACAAGAGTTAATAAATTTCTTTCTCCGTAATTAGGGATGAAAATGGGTACCGGGATCTGTGAGTACCCGCAAAAAATATCCGCAACGGGTCGGGCAGGTCTATGTTTTAGACCGTGGGTAACTAAGACCCGCGATTTTAGGACCCGCTGTTAGATGGGTATGGGTAATGAGTTATCTAGACCCGTGGCTACCCGAACCCGCTATTTCTTCACACATATATATATAGCAAAATAATTGTAATATGATGTTAATTTATATTGTAATATCATATTAAATCATAATTATAATATCATATTAATTCATAAATATGATTATTATGTTATTAAAATGTGATGTTATGTTGTTAAATAATAATATTATATTGTTAATTTGTACGTATGATATAATGTATCTCCTCATACTAGAAGATAATTTACCTCCTTCCGTCAGTAAAAGAATGACATGTGCATTGTTTTGTTTAGTTCTAGAAATATTTTGTAGAAAATTATTAAATAGTACACATGTCACGATTTTAGTGGTTGGGGGAGATAATTTATCTCCTTATACCATGAGATACATTATTCTCTAACATACAAAATAATGTATCTCCTCCTACCATGAGATAACTTAACTCATTTCGTCACTAAAAGAATGCATGTGTATTGTTTTGTTTAGTTCTAGAAATATTTTTGTAGAAAATTATTAAATAGTACACATGTCACGATTTTAGTGGTTGAAGGAGATAACATATCTCCTTATAGAATAATGTATCTCCTCATACCATGAGATAATTTACCTCTTTCCGCCAGTAAAAGAATGACATGTGTATTGTTTTGTTTAGTTATAGAAATATTTTTTAAGAAAATTATTAAATGGTACACATGTCACGATTTTAGTGGTTGGAGGAGATAACTTATCTTCTTATATAGAATAATGTATCCCCTCATACCAGGAGATAACTTACATCCTTCCGCCAGTAAAAGAATGACATGTGAATTGTTTTGTTTAGTTCTAGAAATATTTTTGTAGAAAATTATTAAATGGTACACATGTCACGATTTTAGTGGTTGGATAAGATAATTTATCTCCTTATATCAGGAGATACATTATTCTCTAACCTAAAGAATAATGCATTTCCTCATACCAGGAGATAATTTACCTCCATCCGCTAGTAAAAGAATGACATGTGTATTGTTTTGTTTAGTTCCAGAAATATTTTTGTAGAAAATTATTAAATGATACACATGTCAAGATTTTAGTGGTTGGTGGAGATAACTTATCTCCTTATACCAGGAGATTCATTATTCTCTAACATAGAGAATAATGTATCTCCTCATACTAGGAGATAACTTACCTTAATTCGCCAGTAAAAGAATGCATGTGTATTGTTTTGTTTAGTTCTAGAAATATTTTTGTAGAAAATTATTAAATGGTACACATGTCACGATTTTAGTGGTTGGAGGAGATAACTTATCTCCTTATACCAGGAGATACATTATTCTCTAACATAGAAAATAATGTATCTCCCCATACCAGGAGATAACTTACCTCCTTTCGCCAGTAAAAGAATGACATGTGTATTGTTTTGTTTAGTTCTAGAAATATTTTTGTAGAAAATTATTAAATGGTACACATGTCACGATTTTAGTGGTTGGAGGAGATAACTTATCACCTTATACCAGGAGATACATTATTCTCTATGGAGTTAAATTACATCCTTCTGTCAGTAAAAGAATGACATGTATATTGTTTTGTTTAGTTCTAGAAATATTTTTGTAGAAAATTATTAAATGGTACACATGTCACGATTTTAATGGTTGGAAGAGATAACGTATCTCCTTATATCAGAATATACATAATTCTCTAACATAGAGAATAATTTATCTCATCGTACCATG